TTGGATAACCTTTATAGAATTTTAACTCCTAAAGAAGTTGCTTAATTCGTATAAGTTCACAAGTAATCAAGGCCATAACACAATATTCAGCCTCAACACTGAATCGGGCAACAGCATTTTGCTTCTTGCTCTTTCAAGATGCGATTTCCACCTAGGAATACACAGTAACCAGTAGTGGAACGTCGATCTATAGGACAACCTACCCAATCAACATCACAATAGCCAGAAATTTGGTTGTCTCCTTTGTTCTCATACAACAATCCTTGTCTTGGAGCCTTTTTGATATATCTAAGAATGCGTAAAATAGAATTCCAATGATCAATATGATGGACCTGCATGAATTGACTAACAATCCCTACTGCAAAAAAAAAACTTCAAGTCTTGTGATTGTAAAATAAATGAGCTTCCCAACCAATCTTCTATACTTCTACAAGTCTGTGAATGGTTCACCTTGATCAGCTATCAATAGGCCTACAATCAAACAAGCCAGTTTCCTTCAAGATATCAATAACATATTTCCTTTGTGAAATCACAATGCCATCCTTTGATTGAGCAACCTCAATACCCAAAAAATATTTTAGACGTCCAAGGTCTTTGGTCTAAAAATGACTAAGAAGATGTTTCTTCAATTGAGAGATTGTAGTTGCATCATTCCCAATAATCACTATGTCATCAACATAAACAATCAAATAAACACACCTCCCAAGCGAAGTGTGACAATAAAAAACTGAGTGGTCTGCTTCACTTCTTTTCAACCCAAAGTTCTACACTACATGACTAAATTTTCCAAACCAAACTCAAGGAGATTGTTTGAGACCATCAAGGGACCTTAGTAATTTGCAAACTAAACCAGACTCCACTTGAGCAACAAACCTAGGAGGTTGCTCCATGTAAATCTCCTCCTCCAGCTCCCCATGAAAAAACACATTTTTAATGTCTAATTGGTGGAGGCCAATGGAAAATAGCTATCATAGCAAGAAAGAAACGAACTGTAGGAATTTTGGCCATAGGAGAAAAGGTATCACCATAATCTAGGCCATAAATTTAAGTATATCCCTTGGCCACCAATCTAACTTTGAGTAGATCAACTATACCATCAGGCCCAACTTTTTTGGCATAGACCCATCTACAGCCAACTGGTTGTTTACCGAGAGGAAGTGGAACTAACTCCCATGTGCCATTATGCTCAAGAGCCTGCATTTCAGTAATCATGGCTTGTCACCATCTAGGATGATCAAGTGTCTCATGAACATTTTTGGGAATAGTAAAAGGAGATATAGAGGATACAAAAGAGAAATATATAGGAGATAATCGATGATAATTCAAAAAATTATAAACAGGATGAGGGTTCCAAGTAAACTAAATACCTTTGCAAAGAGCAATAGACCACCCTGAATTTGATGATTCTTCAAGTAATGTCAAATCAGTTTGTCGTGTCCAACGTTGATATGTGAGAAGAGGAGGTGGAGTATCTTGAATTGGACTATTTGTGGAAAAGGTAGGTTGGGTGACCTCGTGGTTGGAAGTGTTATGGGTTAAAATTTGAGGTGGTATGACCAGATGAGAAGAAACAAGCAGGACCTATTGTATTGTCACAAAATCATGTGTGGAGGATAGGAAAAAGGGAGTTTGTTTAAAGAAAATGACATATCATACATGTAAAATTTTTTAGTCTTTGGGGAGTAATACTTATACCCCTTTTGGAGATGAGAATAACCTAAGAAAACATATTTAATAACTCTAGCCGACAACTTATCTAGACCAGGAGAGACATGAAACAAGGGTTCCTTTAGAAAAATAATTGAATAAGGAATTTTATTCTCGAGAAGATGGCATTTTTGTTTATTAGAAAACAAACTTTGAGAATTGCATCACCCCAATGATGTACATGAACATTTGCATTGAGCATTAGGGTGCGTGTAGTCTCCATAAGGTGTCTATTTTTTCTTTCTGCTATTCCATTTTGTTGGAGTGTGTGTGGACATGTAAATCGATGTAAAACACTCTCTGAGGATAAAAAGAAAGATAATTCAGAGGATAAATATTCCTTGGCATTGTCACTTCCAAGAATTTTGATTATTTTTCCAAATTAGTTCTTAATTTCATTAAGAAAGAAAAAAAAATAGACAAAAGTTCAAAACAACCTTTCATTAAGTATACCTATGTACATCGAGAAAATTCATCAATAAAGGTTATAAAATATCTTAAAACAAAAGATGTTATACAGCTTAGACCCCAAATATCAAAGTGAATGGTGGTAAAAACCAAGTTACATCTTTTTTCAGTTTGTTTGGGAAAGGATGACCTAACATGTTTGCCTAATTGACATGACTCAACCTAACTCTTCCAATTTTTTGAGACTAGGAGCTAAGAGTTTCAACTTGGAAAAACTTGGATGACCTAAACTATCATGCAAAAGCATGGGTGACAAAATAGCAGCACAAGATGCAGGTGATTGCGTTCCAAAATAGTAAAGACCACTAGATTCATGTCCTACGCTAATTATCCAACTCATAACACGTTCCTAAATAACACAAGATTCAACATTAAAGGTTACTGAATAGTATAAGGATTCAGTCAATTGACTTAAAGAAATTAAATTGAGAGGACAATTAGGGATAAACAAAACAAATTATAAATTTAACAAGGGAGAAAGGGAAACTTGACCAATTCCTTTGAGGGCAATTTTGGACCCATCTGCTAAGGTGATAAGGTGAGGTGATTCAAGAGGAGACATGAAAGAAAACATAGAATCATTACCAGCTATGTGATCAGAGGTACCTAAATCAATGATCCATGGACTTTGACTTGCAATTAATTGAGAAGTACTGACTGTAGAAACAGTAGTGGTAGAGGAAGATTGAGCTTGACTCATTACTTTTCATTGACGATATTCTTGATAATCATCTTCAGGGATCTTCACATCAGCCTTGGACAAATTTGCTATTTTTTCTGGAAAACCATGGAAAGAGTAACAATTCTCTTGAGGACGACCACTTTTGCAGTAGGAACATTGGGGACGACCACTTTTACCCCCTTTTCCTCGGTTTCCACGACTAGTCGACCACCTCTCTCCCTGGAAGAGACCATAGCAGAAGCTTCAACAATGGTAGTAGTATTTTCACTCTTGGCTTTGGTTGGAACTCGAAGTAGTCTGGTAACTAGGTTGTCTATTGAGGGAATTTCATTACCAGTTAAGAATTGATCACGAACATGATTAAAATCTAAATGCAAGGTTTGTAAAATCATCACCATATATAGCCTATCAAGTTTTTTCTTCATTCCTTCCAATGAATCATCATCAAGGAACAATATTAGCTCTTCTTGAGTAGCTTGAGCTTCAGCCACATGAGAAACCATATCAAGTTTTAGAGAGGCTAATTTTTGGGCAGCGTCATATAGTCGCTGAATGTAATTAGCATAGATACTTTGAGCCTTCTTCCAAAGAGTAACAAGTTTTAAAGGCTCTAAGCGTTCCCAATATATTGAGTTCTACGAATTGCCACAACACAACACATAACTAGAAATCAATTTTCTTCCACTGAGCCTTATTCTCTGTTGACCCCCTCAATGCCTTCCTTTTCTAGGTGGTCATGGTGCCCTTGACCAAGAAACCAAAGTTCCACAAATGCAACCCGTGAAAAGTAGTTCTTTCCATTTAGCTTTTCTGTAGTAATAGTAGGTGTCCTAGCAATAGCAAGAGCAAGGCCTAAAGAGGCCATAAGAGAAAAACAACGAAACAGAGACAAAGAGAAGATGAACAATAACCACATCCAAACAGCCGCCCAAAACAGTAAACTGAGGGTTGAAACAAACTCAAAAGAGGCTAACGAACACAATGGTGGCTGCACGATGGAGTTCCAATGAGCAGAAGGTGACGCATGAGCCACATGCACTTGACAGAACAGGAACTTGGATCGACAGGTGAGAGTGAATGGGGACTGTGATGTACCTGAAACCAACAAGGTTGGGCCACACTCAACGAGGCGCACCAAATCCTAAGGTCGTTGGAAAAATTGGTCGATGGCAGATGACGGAGATGGACGCTGAATAAGACGGGACTACAGAGCGGGACCAAACCCACTCTAATACCAACTTGAATATTGAGATTTTCATGTTTGGGAAAAATCAATGAGTTAATCTCAATTGATCTGCATCTTTAATATATGTACATAGTTTAAATCACAAACACAATATACATTGAAAAGGCTAAGAGCCTAAGCCATCACAACAAAAATACAAAATACTAAAAAATAAAAGGCTTCCTTAGTAAGCTATTCTAACAAAGTTATTTTGTCACAACAAGTCAACCATTAGCATTGCTCACAATTCAATTCTACATGACAAGACCAAACATAATGAGACCAACAAGCACATTATCAAAGAATGGTCTTATTGTTAAGGCACATGTTGCTATAGGACTCCAAGTGGCTAATGTCTTTACTAAGAGGCTTCCTACTAGTAGACTCCAGGAGCTTGTAGGCAAGTTGGAAATGATTGATATTCCTTTACCAACTTTAAGGAAGGTGTTGTAACTCGCAAATAAAATAAATATCTTAAGGGTCTATCAATATTTTATTTAATCCTTTATTTTATTATTTCTTTTATCTTTTATCTTCAAGTCATAGTTTTCTTATTTTAGAGATATTAGTTTTCTCTATGAAAGCATGATTAGAGAATGTAATTGGTGAGAAAAATTATTATTAAAAAAATTTCCTATTTTTTTCAAGTCTAACCAAACTTGAAACACTAACAAACCATGGTTTAAATGTGAATCAAACCAAGATTTGTGTCTTTGTTTGGTTTCTGAAATTATGAACTATGAAATATGGCTGAGTCTAAGGTCAAAAACTTAAACAGAACCTAATTGAATCATGGCACAATTAGGACTTGCAAGCTAAGCTAAAACATACATGCTTACATGATTCACTACATTGGCTAAATAAATAGAGCTAAACAATTTGTTACTTAGTGTGAATAAATTAATAAGAAATACTCACCACCGAAAATAGTCACTTCTAATGCCTACTGGTGAAGCCAACAATATATCAGTAATCCAGGGGGACAATGGCCTTATAGGTTTCTTCTCTTGCTGTGTCAAAGAATTATGCTCAGATTTCCCATCAACAGATTCACTAGTTGTGGCATGACTGCCACTACTGCTTCTTTCAGTTTCACCATGTTGTTTTTCCTTTTTGTAAACTGGGCGATTGTAATGGGTTAAAATACGCAAAATTTCACCACATGCAAGAGCCCATTGCTCTGAGTATTCATTCTGCAAAATTATACACAGAAGAAATGAAAATGGTAGAGAACCCCTTTGAAGATACTGAAGTAGAATAATTGCTATATTAATCAGTTTAGAAACTGAAAGACAGAAAGCGAGAGACTTTTTTGCTACGGCATTGAATTGTATATAAATAAAATCAAAATATCAGGCAAGGGATTATACATATACCTCAATTTTTGGGCACACTGAAGATATGAAAGAAGCAAATGGAGGACTAGCCTTATCATAGGCTACTGTACCATCAATAATACATGAAATAATTGGAAGTACAACTGCATGGCCATGCTCAGGATGATGAAGAACAAATGTTGCTGGATGTACACGTAAAAACATGAATAAGTTATTACACAGTATATAAATAAATTCATGGTAACAATGTTTATGTTGAGTCAACCATAAGTTAAACTAACATGGGATAAAGCATAAATACCCAAAACTTCGTCAAAGAGAAGAATCTCCTTGGATGGGTAACGGTTACGGATCAACTGTCAAAATAATATAGAACAGTGAGTGGCATTTGATAAAGAAAACTCTTGGCTTTCTGATAAAAAAAAATAATACAAAAGAAATTGAATTTGTGAAAATAATTTGTATATATTTCTATTCCAGTTCACATGGTTTATCAGTAAATATGGGTGCATTTATCATACCTCAGCAATATCATCAGCAAATTGTTCTGATGTAAACTGGATGAAGTACTCAACATATGCAGCAATTTGATCCTAGGGAAAGCAGAAATAATATGATAAAAATCAACACAGTGGAACAATAATGAGCTTCCAATATAGCAGAACACGTAAAAATGTTTACATATAGATTGATAAAGAATTATTTCCAGCCTTACAATTCAACAGAAGTTTCTCACTAGTACAATAAGACTGACGAATTTCCAATTTCTTAAATGTAAGATGAAATACAAACTTTTAAGAGATAATATTGAAACCCAAAGGACATTAACAATAAGACTGACAAGAAATTGTAACATCTAATTAAAACAGTAATGATAGAATTTTAACGTCTAATTATATAATAACTAATTCAATAATCTATTATGTGAATAATGGATTATTGTTATAATCGATTATAATTAAAATGAAATTTTGCTAGGGTAAGTTTGATGAAAAGATTAGTTCTGCATCCCTCCGTATCCCTCCAATCATGAACCAACTATCTGAACAACAAGTTTAGGCAAAGGCACGTGAATGGTTTTTTATTGCATCCCCAGTACACACCCTCACACAAGTGCCCTTTGCATTTAAACTTAAAGCTTGGATAATGCAGGGGGCCACCTACATTGTGCTGAAATTCAACATTTTCATTAGGAGAATCAGGGTACCAAAATACACCCGCAGCCCTTTTTTTTTTTTTTTCCAAATTAAATCAATATAATGATATAAAAAAAATCAGATGAATATTTTCAACAGCATGAAGGTATCCAAAATGTCACAAAAAAAGAAAAGTATCCAAACGTAATCTAATGTTTCATATAGGCGCATATGTAAGGAAAAAAAATCTGGATAAATCTAATGCTTCATAAATTATTGTTTCTCAAGGTATATTAGAAAAAGATCATAATTTATTTATTAACATTTACTGGGAGGAATTATAGAACTTCTCTCCTCAAATTATACATTATATACTCTTACAAGGACATTGCATTGCATTAGTCAATACTCAACAGTGCCACCACCTATTGACCTTATCAAACTTCAAAATTTATGTTTCCACCAAAATTTCTGCAGCTAAATGGCATAGGAAAAATAAAGTACTTTTTTATCTGAATTCATTAATACATAATTTAAAGTTTGTGAGTTGACATGCTATTCACAAATTAATTTTTTCAGATATTGGAAAAAATGTCACAACTTTTTTTATTAAATTAAATTCTAATGGGAAATACCAAACTTCTCCCAAAAAAATAATAAATTATACACTCTAACAGGTAACAGTTAATCAATGCTGAATATCAGTGAACTCATTTGTCACAGAATCACTGTAAAGTAAAATGATTGTGAGGGAAGATCCTAAGCAAACTAATTCACTTCACAAATTTTTACCGAATGGCATCTCTTCACCGATGAAAAAATCCAACATTTTTTTACACGGAAAATGCTATTATTTTGTTTTACCCGAAGATATTCCGTGTCTAATTGGGTAGAAAAAATTATGGCAAATCCCTCAGTGCATATACCATTACTTGTACCAAATATCCTAGTAAGGAGTCAATAAAAAACTAAACTGATAAAACAAAGCAAAAGGTGCCCATCATCAAAATTAGTAATATTACAATAAAAACCAATGAAACAGTTTCCAAACAAAACTAATCGGGAAAGTATCCTTTAATTATATCACATCCCAATATGCTATTTATGATTCAAAGATTCCATTTTTTTTTTGTTTAATAAGGATGTGTAGCTCCTTCTCACTAGGTTGGCCTCTATAGGAATAAAGTGGTACCCCTGGTCGCAACTCCATGCTCAAGTCAAGTATTGAACCCCGATCCTTTGGTTAAGGAGCACAAGTGCATTTGTAATAACGACCTGTGGTAAGATTCCTTATTTTTAAAACAATACATATGCTCCAACCTATCATCGTCAAGAACATATTGGCTAATGACTTTTTCCTATCCTATGCACCAAGCACCAAATAGGTTAAGGGGTACACACTCTTAAATGCTTTCAATCACTTAATGTTGGTCTTATGAGAAAGGAAGCCACAAAACCAGACCCTACACAAGAACAACCCACTAAAAACAAAAATGCACAGTACTCAACAGAAATGTGGAACACAAAACGTGATTATGCAAAAAAATAAACACAATAGTAGAACTAAAAAGATTAAGAGAAAGAACAAAAAATTCACACGGTTCGGTCAATTTGGCCTACATACATGAGAGAGAACAATTTCCACTATTCAAAGAACAAGATCAAGTTTTTACAAGCAACCATTGGTTATCACTTCTATGTTCAAGATGAACATCAATAACCCTTTGGCTCTATTTTCACACCCCCTTGATCTCTCTAAGAGGCTCCCCTTTTCTCTCTTTTCCCTCTCATGTTCGCTCTTGAGCACCATATATCTCCCTCTCTCACGCTCACACTCACACTCAGAGCCCTAAAACACACATACATCCATCCATACATACATACATACATGGATCTAACTCATAAGAGTGAATCCATCAAACTAAACAGGAACAGGCTGAGCAGACCAACCATCAGACTAAACAAAACTTAACAGACTATCCATCAGACAGAACAAAGAGCCAATCCAAAGATTTTGAGTCACAATCAACACTTAAGCACTAGATATTTTTTTGTTTTTCTACTTTCTAGTATCACAAATACTTCCTTTTTCCGATAAAAACTTTCCATTTTTGTTCCATTGACATATACACCAAGTGCATAGTATAGGAAGATCATATATTTTCTATTTATATATTCATAAAGAATGTCCATTTCTTGATTGTTGAAGTTTTAAAAGCTTTGTTTTAAACATTGGAATATTAAACAAAACATTATTATGGTCTATGGTGGTGAGGGACCAAAAAATACCTCATCCATGTGGGTTAAAAATAACCGTCAAATATTCAAATTAAAATAAATAAACAGTCATGATACATGAAACAATGATTAGATCTCAGCTATCCATTTATTTTAATAATATATTCGATTGTTATTTTTAACTCGAAGGCTTTTTCAACCTCCCACCTTCTTCTTATTATTCTTATTTATTATTATTTATTATTATTATTATTATTATTATTATTATTATTATTATTATTATCCAAAAAGAATGTAACTGACATTCCATACACAGAATTAATGCTTATTTTGAGAGTAGAACATTAAGGAAAAAGGTTTGGGGGGAATCAAGATTGAAATGGCACCTTTCTTTGTTGACCATCTGGTGGAGGAGGCCAGAACAATGAGGAGAACTGAAGACGGTCAATCCACCTTTCATTGGGAGCAGCCATCGAAGAAGAAGAAGACATCTATCTACTTGCAAGCTATTATTTCCTCTGCCTCTGACAATAAAAAGCAACTATCCAAATTCCAGCCAAAACATGCTACCAATCAAGAATTAAAATATCGTAATTCACCATTCCCTGTTCACCAAGGCCAGATATTTTTTTTTTACCTTAGTAACCAATCCATCACCAAAAATTGATCATCCACCATAACATATTTCAGAAAAAGCTTTGTTTTTGGCAGAAAGCAAGTACAAAAGAAGACAAGCAAATGCAACTATAGAAATTTGTAGATATTTGCCGCAACAACCGGTTGCCCCATGCAAGCTTGAATCTATGTACTTTGAAAATTTATTGGTGATTTCTGAGTTAAATTTCACCACTATAAAAATATCAAAGTTGTCTTCTAAATAAAGAAAATCAGAACTCGGATAAATCTGAAACAGAATCCAGTCAAACAGAGCAAAATCAAATTATATAAAATAAAAAAAATAAAAAAAATAAAAAAATAAAAAAGTGAGAACTGAGAATGAAACTTCGTAGGAGAAATACTGAATTTCTGTCGAGGCCAAAGAGGTCAGCTCAGATTCAAAAGCAAGAAAAAAAAATTATTAAAAATAAATAAATAAGCCCCTAAAATATCTAACAACTCAGATTCACCACAAAAAAAAAAATTATAAAAAAAGACTAATTCCACTTCATAAATTAACACAAGCACCAAGAACAAAAGTACAGAACCTGTGAACATACAAATTTTTAACAATAAAAATCAGCAAAAAAAAAAAATTAAAACAAAAAACATGTACCTGGGTCCTTGTGTTTGTGCAGAAGCAATATTTTTAGAAAGAAAAACTGGTGATTGAGGAGGTGAAATGATGTAGGTGAAAAAATGGGAAATTTTGGTGTTTTATGAAAATATTTAGATGGGAAAAATAATGGTTTATGGTGAGAGAGAGATGCAGAAACAACTGGGAGAGAGAAAGAAGGAGAAGATCTTTTGGAGCTCTGAGAAGCCTAGATTGATTGCATACGTGGCAATGATATTTTCCTCTCACCTCCGAGGCTATGTCACGTCATGTTACTCTGCTCATATGTGCATGGGCATGCAGTCACATCATGGGCATGCATGGATGCCCATCCATCATCGTTACACATATAAAAATATATAATTATACTCATTAAATAAGAATTATTTATTTAAATCCTCTATCCATGACAATTAAAATAGATTTTAAGAATTATTTTTAAATATATTTATATAACCATTTTAATCAATTATTTGTTGTTTTATTTAAAATTAAATTTCAATATATTTTAACTAAATTGTTATCACAATATAATTATTTATCATAAATTTAAAATATATTTTATGAATTTAAAAATATTATTTATTATAAAATTTGATTATATTAAAATTTATATATTCAAAATATATATTTATTATAATTTTAATTTTACAAAATAAAACAGTTCTCACATAAATTGAATGAATTAAAATATTAGTTATCTTTATAACTATAACTTTTACGCTACTTTCTAAAATACAGTTGTTCTTTGATAAATAGATTAAAAAATCACATTTTATTGAGAAAAAAAAAATATCACATAAGATTTATAATTAAATTCAAAATTTAAAACGTTGATTTTTAATCTAATGTTTATGATATGGTTTAGGATCTTTGATATTCATCATAAACAAGTTTTGAAGGTGTGATCGTTCAGGTATTAAAATTTATTTTTGGTAAGTGCACTAGAATGTTACTGGAAAAACACTCTCATAAGTTACTGGTGAATAATTATTACCGAAGATTATATTAGAAGCTAAATTGTATTTTTGTCTAAATTATATTTTTTCTTTTATATAATATTAAATTTATAATTTCAATCTTCATTTTTATTAAAGTAATTTTAGTTTTTTAATTTTATAAAATTCATAATTTTAATCTCTTTATTAAATATTAATATGTTAATTGTTAAAATTGGAATATTAGTCATAATCAAATATTAAATAAATAATATAATAATTAATATATAATAATATTTAAATTAAATTTTATTTTTAATTCTGATTTTTATCTTAAATAAATACAATAAAATGAGATTAAATTGAAACGAGAATGAGAAATAAAAATACAAATTTAATTCATATATTATTTGATATTAATTATTATATTATCTATATAATATTAGTTCACGACATATGTTATAATTTTAATGATTGATAAAAGTATATGTATTAAAATGATTAAAATTACAAATTTTATAAATTGAAAAATCAAAATTATGAAAATAAAAATTGAAAATTTGAAATTACAAATTTAAATTTATGAAAACGCCAAAAGTACAAATTAATTTGGATAAAAATGAATTTTTTTTTGAAATTACACTATGTTAATCAAACATTGCAGATGATCGTGTATCGATTTTTGAAGAAAAATAAATTTTATCCACATATCCAATGTTCAACAGGTCACGTACTTAATAAGTTTTCCAGCAACAATTTTTACAATACACTAAAATTTCACAAATAAGTTTACCAACAACAATAAAAATAAATTTACAATACAGTAACAAATAAGTTCATCAATAATAATAAAATAAAATAAAATAAATCAATTACACCGACATTCTTAAAGTTTCATGAAATCACGTAAATATTCCTACTTTTTAATGTCCTTACTATAATAACCTTTTTTAATTGTTTGAAAAACAATTTACTAGTACCTCTTATACATTATTTTAATTCCTTTAATTATTTGAAAAACATTACCCTCTTATAAGGGAGGCTACTATTAACCCAAAATAATAATAATAATAATAATAATAATAATAATAAGGAGTGTTAGTTTAATACCATAGAACTTCAAGAGTATCAATGTATTTTTTTCTAAAATAAATCAATACAATCACAATTAAGTTTTAATAAACAAATAAAACACGGAAAAAAAAAACATTACAAGTGTCTATAACCAAAAGTCAAGAGAAAAATGGTTAACCTAACAAATTTAAACAATGACAACATATCACACTCTCTATCTCACATACAATAATACACGAATAAATAAAATTGAATGGAAAAATTTATCATAGATAAATCTCCAATGTCTACATAAAAGGTATTATATTTTAACTTAAGCAAGAGCCAACTGAAATTCAACTGGAATTACAATGAAAATGAACTATTGTCTTAAAACATAACAACAAAAAGAAAGCTCTTAAGTCTTGATGTCACATCCTATTGGAACATAACTTATCTATGAGGATTAAGTCTCATAATCAACATCATGTTGAAGATCACTTATAATAATATACAAACCAGACAACATAAAACAAAAGAGTGAGAGACATCTCATTACAACTCACACTGTAGGAATGTCACCGGATAACTAAACAAAAACAAGCATATAACAAGATATAATATACACAAATAAATATTATCATCACACTTTATTCATTTATAGCATAATAAACAATAACAAAGAACATTATCATATATTATGTAATAGACATGGATTACATATTATCATGCATGTAACGACAGTAAAAATATCATACATCACACTTGCACATTGTTGCTAACAACACACGTAAAGTAGCTCAGGAATACATATTGAGTCACATCCTCAATGCACTCGCACTAATAGGATTTACTACCAAAATTTGGTCATGCTAGCTAAATCGTACAAGATATGTCCCATACACACTAAGTGTGAGACTAAGACTTTCATACCAAACTATCCCAATGACTGGTCTCCAAGCTTTTACACAGGGGGTCTTCTCTGATAATGTATTTCATATCGTACCCTTAAAAACACTTTTATACATATGATGCATGTCAACAAACTCTATGCATAACAGGTCATATGATTTCATTAATTCACATATTAGATTATCCATCATTTTACTATCAACATTAATTAGTAAAATGATTATACATGTTCAATGTTCAACCACAACAATTACACAACATCATCCAACACACCTCAAGATATAATCATTATGATATTGTCTAAATATATTAACCCCTCGACCATAGTCACTACAAGATCAATGTTAACGAGCATTTAAATCAATAGTTTATCTAGCCTTGCAACATTGTCAACATCACATACTAAGGCTTTAAACATCGCTATCACCAAAATACCTTAAGTCGTTAACAATTAACTTACGTTATAATTTATTAACACTTGTATTATTTCATGATTTATCTTTCATAAAATTGATATAGGTACCTCAAATCATTGTAAAATCAAACACTTAAAAGGAAAAGTCATTCATCATCACCATTCAAAACTACATTTTCACAACTTAATTTTCCAAGACATCGTGTAGTCCAAACACCTTATCAATATATATATATATATATATATATGCTATCAATTTGATTTTTATTTTCTTATAAAGCTAGAACAATAATCTTTATCTTATATGTTGACCTCAAAAGTTAATTTTACCATCTATTATTTTTTTAAAAATACAAAATCATAATTTTTCAGCTTAAATCTAACAGTCCGACCTTCCCTCACTAATTTAATCACAACTCGAGTTATATACCTCCATTTTAGGTAATTCTAACGGCATTTGAAGACCAACATCAAAGGATACAACTGTTATGAAGACACCAAAGGCTAGTTCAATCATTTATGACGCTTGCACGGGCGTACAAGTGTGTGCAAAGGAGTGCCAATTGCAATTCATCACAAGACTTTTCAACAATGGTCACACGAACGTCTAAAGGAGTGCACAGGCTTGCCAGTTACTGCTCTGGGTGAAATCCACTACGACAAAGTGCAAAAATCACTCATGATGAACCCAAAACTTTAAATCATTCGGTAAAAAATTACAATTAAAGTTTAATACTATTCTATTATACCATCAATTACTCCAATTCAACCTCAATTTCACATTCTAATTACATACTCTTATTAACTACTCACATAATAACTATTTATGATTCCCATGGGTACTCACAAATAATTAAAACCTCATAATTATATGTTTAATTACGAAATTGGAGACATGTACAACTACACATAATACAATCATTTGGAAAAAATTTGCTTCATATAATACAAGCAACATAAAAGGGACCGAGGTCAATCTTACTATCTAACATACATTCTCACGCCCAAAATGAGATCTCACACCCAAAATGAGATCTCTAACTCCCCCTACATTGATGAGCGTTAGAAGATAGATATGAATTTTTAAAGTATTTTTCTATGAACTTTAGTTCTTATTGTTCTTTAGAACATATGCATAATATAAAAATTAAGAAGTCTAAAAATAAAAGAACTACCGTAACTCCCTTTTCAAAAATTTAACCCACACTTAACCTATAAGTAAAAAGTACTTTAATCATAATTATAGAAAATCTTTAAAATATTTTATAAAACTCTTTTAATTAATTAAAATTATAATAAAAAATAACTCAACAAAAATAAAAAAAATAATAATAATTAAACTATTATATTTAGTAAATATATTCGGAGTGTTATGCAACTAAACTTAACCCATTATTTAATTTGTTATTATTTAGCTTGTTTGATTAAAAGGTTAAAAAGTACAAGTCAATTTAACTCATTATTTAAGTCATTATAGGGTGCATGACACAAATCTAGGACCCTTGGTAGTCAGTTTTGACATGTTAAAAAGTAAAATCCATGCATATGGATAAACTAAGTTGTTCGATAGGGTGCATGGCAGAAATCCAAGGCGTGTTGTAGTCAACTTTGACATGTTATAAAGTAAAATCCCATCAGGTTACTACATGTGAATAAATGTTTTTTTGTTCTATAGAATGTTAAAGTTAGTCTATATCAAAATCTCATATATATATATATATATATATATGGACATTTTTTACCAGTAAAAAAATAATTTAATGGTAATAGTGATAATTGAACTTAAATATAAATAATTTTAATTTATTTTCAACCACACATTTCATTTTATATACAATTTCTTTTCACCCATTTCAATTTTCCCGATATCAACTCCACCAAATACAATATAAATAGTTT